AGTATCTTGCCCAAGGATATTTGGCATGCAGACTGAAATCGAACCACCTACCACCCGGATAGTAGGTGACCTGCTCTACCACCTGAGCTACAGCCACCCCACAAAGCTACAGGGGTTCAGATATTGACTCAGGTGGTGACTCCAGGGTGTCTGGAGTCATGAACACTGACCTTAACTGAGCCAAATGAGGCCTGCAGTCCTTTGGTTGTTGTTGTGGGGTCTTTTGTGACCTCTTGGATGAGTCTTTGCTGCATTCTTGTAATTTTAGTCGGTTCACCACTGTTCCATGTTTTTATTACTTGTGATGGGTCCCACAGCTTTAGAAATGGCTTTTACAACCTTTTCCAGACAGAGATCTCAATTACTTTGTTTCTCATTTGTTCTGATGAAATATTGGATCACGGCATGATGTCTGGCTTTTGAGGATCTTTTAGTCTACTCCACTTTGTCAGGCAGGTCTAATTTAAGTGATTTGTTGATTGAGAACAGGTGTGGCAGTAATTAGGCCTGACTGTGGCTAGAGAAATTGAACTCTGCTTTCCAAAGATGTGATACACCACAGTTAATTTACATTATAATGAAGGAGTGGGGGTTTGAATTTTTCCCCCCTTAATAAACATCTTCATTTAGAAACTGTATTTTGTGTTTACTTGTGTTATCTTTGTGTCTACTATTTAAATATCGGGAAGGGCGCAAACACTTTCTCACACTATTATAAATAGGGATGGGAATTGATAAGAAATTAGCGATTCCAAATCCATTGTCGATATCGCTTATCGATTAGATTCCTTATTGATTCCCATTGGCTTCACAGAGTCAGCATCATCTCTACGCAGCATATCAATGACAATATATTCATGCAAATTAATTACATGCTGTGTGGTCAAATTTTCCATCTTTGTTGTGATCAGTGTTGGAGTCATTATTGAAAAAGTAAAAAAGGTATTACACAGAACACTTAAAAGTAATGCAGTACATTACTTAATTACACCCTAATGAGTACATATGTGATTTTTCTTAGTATTTCAGTTTAGACACAAAACAAAGATGAAAACCAGCACAAAGACACTTCAAAGTGATGGTCACAGTGATTCTACTGTGGAAACATGAACTGGTAGAAACGGAGGCTGCAGCCTGACTGCTCATTAGTTTGTTACCTGTTGAAGTTCAGCAGCAGCTGGCTTCACCAAAATAAAAATAAAAGTAACATCTATATTCAGGTTATAGACCACTCCACTATTTTCCTCCTCTCACATGTGAACTGAAATCAGCTGATTGTAGTGAGAGCTCAAGAACCGATAGGCACTAACAATTCCAAGCAACTGGACAACTGGGAACCAGTTCTTGTAGAGAACCCGATTCCCATCCCTAATTAGAACCCTAACCCTATTTTTTGTTTTAAAAACAAAACACAAACAAACAAACAAACAACAAAAAACAGACACACAGTAGTAGCAGTAGGGGTGGGTTTTTATAATCGATTCATCGATTAAAATAGATTCTGTCTTGGATAATGTGAAATCGATTCATTAAAATCCTGAATCGATTTTTTAATATAAATTTATTTTGCCCGAAACGGCAGAATCTCAGGTGAAACCTCACAAATTTTCAACAACCACCAAACAGCTAAAACGGTAAATGAGAGCAGGAACACGACTTCTGCACAAAGACGTAAACACAAAGCGCGGACCCGCGGATCAGAATCAGTGAGATGTCGCCTTTCTCACCCGACGGCACGGACACGGACACGGTCGGGGCTGAAAGCCGACAGCTCGCTGATTCTGATGTTTCGGCGGGTCCGCGTTTTGTGTTTACGCCCTTTTACGCTGATTCTAAAGCTGTAAGTTTTATCTCTCTCCAAACAATATTGACTGAACCAGCAGCTAAAGAAGATCCAAACTATGCTTCACATAAACATCGTCATGAATTCCTTCTTACTTTTGCTGTTTTGCTTCCACCACGATAAAAATCACACTTCATGCACAGCTCTCTCTCTGTACTTCAAGAACAGTTTCCCGTCTAAAAATCTGTTTTCTGCATTATTCGCTTGCTTGTTACGCACAAGTCTGTTGTTTACAGGCTGTCGGCCGCTGCTTTTTTTCCCCTTTTACTTACTTCCGAAAAGAAAACCTAATTTCTGCCGTTCAATACTGAACAAATTTAAACTTTTTAAAATTATGCAACATGCAATACGCTTAGCTGTGTCTCTAATAAAACCGCTGTAATGTCACAGGTAACGTTCATATGTTGATTAATGGTTTTCTTTCGTTTTTGATCTACTGCAGAATATTTTTATAAAATCCAGGCCAGGAAAATCACCTTCATGTTTTTCTGTGTTTTATCTTCAGCTACTTTGACACAAAGACATCTGCTGTGATGCTCACACCTTTGATAAAGTCTTGCGTGTGTCAGCTTCCTTTTAATAGATACAAAAATATGTAAATGTACGGATCTGAATTATAATATTTCTGACTCAAAATTTCCCAGATTCAAATCGAATTGAATCGGTATCGAATCGATTCTAGAAATCAGTGACAAAACCCAGTCCTACACAGCAGTATAAACCTGCAAGTGGCTAGTCAAAGCAAATTTTTGCTGAACCTCATGCTCACCCCAGCGCCTGCTATGTGAGTGCCTTAAGCCGAGGAAAGTGTCAAATGCACGCAGTTATAAGGCTTACCTGTCCAGGACCACAAGATCAGTAGCAGTCTCAGCATTGCTCTTAAGGATTCTTTCCAGATTCTGAATCTTCTGCTCCAGTTCTGATGGGTCACACTTTCCATTCAGAATGGAAGCCGTGAGACCAAGGATACGAGGAGTGCAGGAGCAGCCCTCAAACAGCTGCACACACAGAGGACAACCAGGTCACCCACAATGATTTTGCATGATTCTCTGCCACTATTACAATAAACGTAATCCCATTTCCTTAAAGACTACAATCTCACCTTCATTATCTGACAGTAAGGGTGGTCTGTGATGGCCAGGTGGCAGTCATCAAACACCACCAAGTTGATTTTCGACAATGGTAAGATTTTATTCCTCAGAACATGAAGGAATATGTGGCAAGTCATGACCAGCACCTTACAGAAAGTGACAAGGACAATGGAATAGATTATTACCAACAGTGAGTACAGGATATCTAACTATCAGATATACATCTCTATTTTTCTCTCTCTCCTGCTCTCCTTCCTTGGATGTGTATTTGGTGCCATGTATGTAATGTAAATTGTCCACAGCCAAATCTGAACAGTCACCAAACAAAACAAAAACATCTGCAATCACCCTCGCACTCACGATCTAATGACACAATTATCACCCTGTCCCAAGCAGACCCCAGTGAAATCACAGACAGAAAGTACACTGGAGGATTTAGAGTCCCCCTGAAGCATGAAGGGAAACAGAGTGCTGGGCTTACCATGCCCAATAAGTCAGTGTTTAAAGGTATGAAAAAAGAAATGCAAGTACAGATATTATTTTTATTATGACAAAGTAATGGTGTTTCTGAGAAAAACACTGGCATCAGACAATATTTGCTTAACTGGATGGTGTTGGCTTATTATGTGAATGTGATGACATTCAGGAACAACAATGACCAAAGTTTAACTTCCATCTGTGTTTAAATGGGACCCAGTTTCATATTGTGTACATTCAAAGTGAGTACACCGAAAGAAGCTAAAACAATTAGTTTGTATAAATATGTTAAAAGGGTGAAAAAAAGATGAACAATCTGACATATTATTGTATCCAACCAGTATTGCCCTTCATACAGTTTGTTTTACTCTCCAAGTCTGTGTGTAAAGGAAGACAAACTTGTAAGAGCATCCCAGCATGCAACTAGCATCAGCTTAAGCACACCTGATTTTCTATTATCTGTCGACTCCACCGTTGGTCAGTCCATGCTAAGGTCTCCTCCAGATCTGTATACTCTCCCACACTGAGGTCAGAGTGAGTCCTGACTGCAGCTGCTTGCTGAACTACAGAAGCAGCTGTGGAACACAGAGCAGAGATACAGAATGACACACAGACAAAAATCAAGCACAATGTCACACCAGCTGAATCCGAATAAACAACAAGTTCACAGACATTTCTGGCACAGGTACCTGTGTTCACTAGAAAAACAGTCCTCTTTGCATTTTCTTGGTAAGGTCCACGTATTTGGTAGGAGAGCTCTTTTGTTAGAAGTACTGCAATGAAGGTCTTCCCTGAGCCAGTATTCAAGCAGACGATGGTATTGCGTTCAAGAGCTGCTTCAAGAAGTTCAACCTGTGGAGGCAGTTTCACATTTAGAGACAGCAAGCCCATAGCAGAACTAGGGACACAGTGACAAAGCACAGTGCTTTTTAAAACTACTGGGGATCACTGATCACTAAGGCTGGGCAGTTCATCAAAAATGATTCAAAACCAACATCCAGAACACTCTGATTAGTGTGATCTAGCACTATTTATAACTTAAATTCTGTTAATACTTCTACCACTAAAATATACTAAGGTGTGTGATGGAATAATTGAATGTTCACATGTCATAGTCCTGAACCTTTTTTTCCTCTGCTTTTTGAGCCATAAGCAATCAGCAAGTATTACTCAGGAAAAGGACTCCAGCATTATGAGTTAGACTGATAACCAGTACGTGGAACTGGTATACATATGTGGACACCCCCCACCGCCCCCCAAAAGAAAACAAAAACAAAAAAAACACCTTGGTATAAAAACAGGGTGAAAGACGTCTACTACAAAAGTAGTAGATGTCTTTTAAAATTAGAGTACTGGATTACTTATGACAATTACAGGTCAATATACACATCTCAAAATCCCGAGGAATGACTACACAAGCAAACTACGATATTGTACGCTTTCTTTATCATTAATGTCCCTATATAAGTGTGTTACTTTTTTGTTTTTTTATTGTTTTAGGGTTGTTGTTTTTAAATAAGCCATCAAACTGCAAAGACTTACAGATAAAAAAAAAAGTCTATATGGCAAAATATGGCACATTCAAATGACAATTCTGAGTCCTCACTTTCCCTTGTTAATTACAAAACAAAGGTGTTAGTTTCATTGCTTTCCATTGACAGGTTTGTGCAATTAAGTGGCTGTTCGGTAACTTATCCTAGTCCTGTGGCTGTACCTCTGCTAAGGTCACTGAATGCCTGCTTTGCCGCTTATGCTACTTGTTCAGTTTTTTTGCTACTGGTAGAAAGATGTATGATACTTGGAGCACACTTTCATAGGATTGTGCTTTGTACAACATCAGTGATGTCTGCCTCCATATCTTCAGAAGAGCTGAGCTTTGCTCCTGACAGCAAATGTGGTCGTTTGCCTTCCATGCTCATCCTGTGCTCCGGACATTGCTCAGAAGACCACAGAGTAAAGACTAAAGATAGAGTTGACTGCACTAGAGCCATAGGAGCCCTTCTTTTTTTTTTTTTATTATTTCGTCTAATCAGTTAAAACAAACATAATAATAAGACACACAGGAAATCAGCAGTAATAAATGATCACTCAAATGCTCATGAATTGTAGCCTTCTTGCCTGATATTTTCTAGGTGTATAAATGTTATCATGAATAGCCTCCTGCTGCCATGGAAGACCAAAGAAAGGCCCCATGGGTGAGGTGGCAGGAGTAACAAGCTGTAGGCCAGCCATGCTTCAAACTGGTGGAGGTGAGGGGGCTAAGGCTCCTCCAGTCATCCACTTTATCTCATTTCGTCATCCTCTTCTTTTCAACAGTTCACTGGCAGTGGACATGAAAAGATTTTGTTAGGGTGCTGCAAATGACAGACATAACATTAGGGTGTTTTAAGGTATAAACAAGTTAAATTTAAGACTTAAGAATGGCTAAGTATATGTTGGAAAATGCAAAAATAAATAAATACTTACTGATAACAGAGACACATGGGCTAGGCAGACAAATGTTAATCTGGGCTTCATGATAAAATATATCTTCAGCTCCTAATGCTTCCCCACATTTGGCTCAAAACAGACCTGAGAAATCAGAACATTGTTATGATCATGTATTTCAAACATAGCTCAGTCAATAAGATTCAAGTAATCTATAAATGAGAATCATTTATTCTGATCCATCAATCAACTACTTTTCAACACATCTTAAACCTGAAATCGTCACCAGACCACCTGACGCTTGCCTGAAGGCTGTTCAGCCCTGGCAGCTATAACCATTCCCAGCAGTCAGCTTGGTGCAGCAAGCATTTCTTGCTGTAAATGAAGCAGTTCACATTTGCTTGCAATTTAAAAGATTACAACCTGACACAACAGGCCTGAAGTGAGGTCTTTCACATACACAAATCTAGTAAGTGTTTGAAATTAAAGCAGACCACACTGGTAACGCAAATACTGGAAGCCTTAACATTTCATATACAAGATGTCAACATGCAGGTAGAAAACAAAAAGGGAGGGAGGGAGGGAAAGAAAGAAAGAAAGAAAGAAAGAAAGAAAGAAAGAAAGAAAGAAAGAAGCTCAAATTCTGTAGCATTTATAACCAAGTGTGGACCTCTGTGTGGCTTATCATGGGACAAAGTCCACCTCAAAAATGGCCACACAGATGTAAACACACAGGTGCATGGTGCTAACTGTTTGGATCACAAAATTGAGGAAGCTAATGTGTTAACCTGCTTACATCTACACAAAAATGAAAAATTTATAATAAAAATGTAAACAATATATCACTGGGTACCTGGAAACCGTATTGACTTTTTTTTACGTTCTGAAACCGACTGCAACTTGTGATGACTAAATGGTTGCCCAGAGTTTGAGTGTGGCACACTCACAACCACTCCTGATCGCAAGGCGATTGCACAGGTTGCCTGATAAGAGGCATTTTTTCTAAAGTAGACTGACAGCAGTCACTCGCAGAGAGAGATTGTTGAAGCAAATAATTGCTAAGTTATCAAAGGGGACAGACTGCCAACATGTTGTCATCAGTCTGAATGAGTCTTTGTCAATGACCAACGCCAGTGTCACAAATGATTTAGCAGACTGACTTTATCTTGTGGGAAGTTTTAGCAGCAGTTTAGGCGTGCTTGACAATCTCATTTTGCAGCCAAAAAACAGAATATAGTAAAAAATATAATTTGCCGTTGAAAAGGTGGTGGTAAATCACAAAACATCTTTTTCTTCTGGTTATCCACTTCAGGGTTGCGGTGGACTGAAGCCTATCCCAGCTGCCTTAGGGCAAGAGGTGGCTGAACATGTCGCCAATCACAGCTATGGGCAATTTAGAATCACCAGTTAACCCAACCCCACTAACTGCAAGTCTTTGGATGGTGGGAGGAGAGCCAACGCAGACTCTGCACAGTAAGGCCAGATGGTGAATTTGAACCAGGACTCTTGTTGTGAGCCACAGTGCTAACCGCCATGCTGTCCCAGTTTCATCATTAGTTGATCAAATTGAAGTCCACCTCCCAGGTTCTACATTACGTTAAATTGTTACATTAAATCCAAGGCCGAACTCTGGCATTTCTCCACTTGTCAGCAAGTGGCAAAGAGCACAATGTGTGTTGGATGGCTAGTTAGCAGCTAAATGTCACATTTCCACCGAACACCTTCAGACAACCAGTCGAGCTGATGCACACGAACTCGACATTAAATTAGTTTGAGTAAACATTTGAATACTGGTGATTTAAAAACATGTACTAGAAGAAAACGAGAACTTTAAAGTCCCTGGCCTGAGAACTGCTATAAAAGTACAACGATAGCTACTGCTAAGTGTGCCATATTACAAAAAATAACTTATTTACGTAATGCTGCCTTACACTATGATGTAAAGAACCAAACGTCTCTAAGAACCCGTTAGCATTGTACAAAGCGTTGCCGATTGAGCAGAGACTTGTACAATTGCAATGAAAACCTTTTCACAGCGGCCAAAACAGTAAGTGAACGTAGCATGCCTAGCACACGATAAATGAAAGACTGGGCCTGTGTATTGTGGCGGTAACTGGCCTGGCTGTGTGTTTTTCCTCGCATTGTCCCTGAGCTACAGGCGAATCTGGCCCATGGCTTCACTTGAAATTTACAGCGTTAAATGTAGTGCAACATCTGTACGGTTACTGCGGCCACCATGCACCATCATCATGTCAGCCAGCTAGCTAACAGCTAGCGAGGCCAAACACCACAGCAGTATTTTACAAAGAAGAATCAAGCAACTCGACTATAAACTCACCACTGGATGCTTTTCTGATTATCACCTCGATTAGCTTAAACTCATTCGTTGAATATTTTAAGTGCCATTTACTCTCGTCCCGATTTGGTAGCTACTCGTCCACGGGGGACCACTTCCTTTTACCTGGGCCTCTGCTACGACAAAACATTCACGTAAGCTACGCAACCGCTAGTCAAAGAGTGGCGCACCAGTCTACTAACACGAACCAGAATAGCAGTCCCCGTACCGAGCACGAAGTGTGGAGGTCCCCCTCCGACCATCTCAGACAGGAAACCACTAACGGATTTAACTAGACCAAAGCAACACTGAACACCTGTGACACTGAACCTGACACTGCCCAGTTTACAGGTTATTAATATTTCATTCTGCCGTTGGATTAATCGTTACTACTATTTAGACCATAAATAAATAGGTCTGTGTGAAATGTAAGTGAAAACAGGATGCAATGACAGCATTCAGACAAACAGAAGCCTGGCTACTGGTTTCTTTTAACAAAACCCTGACAGCAAACGTCACCAAATGCTGTGTTCTCGATTCTTACTTGATATAGCATCAAACTGTTGCTTTCACATCTTAACAAATGTTTTCAGTGGGTGAAAAGTACCATAACTTCTCTGCTTCTGAGCCATACCAATGGATGTTAAATAAAAGTAACATTAAAAAAACCTATCATTGAGGATTTGCTGTTTGTTTGTTTGTTCTGGGTTTTTTGTGAAAACAGTGATAGTAATATCAAAATTAAGAAAAGCAATGGGAAGGGACATATAGGGTTTTGGAGCGTGATGTCACGAGAGGGGGCGTGACCAGGTTTTTTGGTCGAGTCGCCATGTTAGTAGGCCAAACAAAGCGAACGTGCTGTGTTGTCGGTTGCAACGTTAGTGGTCAATAAAGAGATGCTGTAAAGCGTGTTCATGTAAACATCGTCGGGTCTGCCGTGATACGTTTACAATGGGACTTGTAACATAAACAAAATACACTTCAGCTAAATACTTCTAATTTATTTTCCCAAACAACGAGGAGCCGCACTATAAGGACTAAAGAGCCGCAGGTTGCCGACCTCTGATCTAGAGCCGAGGAAAAAAAATCAAAGGAGTGAGACCCATACGAGCATACAGAGTTGAGTAAGGACGTGCTGCCCAACTTTCATCGCGCACATATTTATTATTATATGGTCCTAAGTTGTAGTGCATACACTCACAAAATGTTTAGTAACTTCAGACCCCTGCAACAAGCCCAGGTCCAGTTTACTTTGGTGATTTGGACTATTCCATTTCACAGCTGTTGTTAATTTTTTTTTCCCTTTGCATTGGCCTGCACAGGAGATAATCTATTTATCGTTTCAGGTTGTAGTATTACACAACATTTTCAGATCTAATAGAAATAAAATGAGTGTTTCGTAATTCATTCAATTTATTATCTGTATTTATAACTGGCATTATTGTTTCATTCTATTATAGAATCTTACAAGAAAGAGGCAAAATTGTATTCCATTATGCTTTATTAGCTGCTTCGGTGAAAAACAAATCAACAATGCAAAAAAAAAAAAACAATTCAAAACAACATACTGGAAAACCGTTATTCATCTCTTGATTGCTTCAATACAACACTTGGGCACATATATGCGGGACTTTTCGTGGCTGTTTTGATATCGCTGTCTCTGTTAACCGATCAAATCTCGCCGTGGTAGCAGCTTTAAACTCGGTATGACCCAGGTTGATAGAGGGGGCCCAGTCTGGATCGCATTCCAGCATTTTGTAGGCCGGTTTTCCTACAAAACACAACAAACATTAGCCCGCCCGCAAAGCCACAGTGAACAAAGCAGCATAGCGCAACGAATTCAATTCAAATTAAGACTTATTTGTAACCTACATCAACAATTATGTTATGATAAATTACGTAGTAACTACAACAGAAGACTTACCTTTGTGGAAATGCTTGGAGCAGACTAACATGTGAGCTGGAGTGTTCTGGGACGTTATGTTTGGTCTTCGAATGGCTGCAATCCAGGCCATCCGTCGGCTCTGTTACTTCGGAAACATGGCTCGAACAATTTCTCTTCCACTACGTAATCCGATAACAACGATCTCTTTACCCGTGGCTGTCATGCAACCGGCTATTGCAGTTAATAATACAACATCTTCTTGCCATTTTTTGTGTTTCTTTTTATCGCTGTGTGACTGTTTTCATGTGCTAGTACTGCTTGCCACTCGTTCCCAGAATCCTTTGCGGTTTTACCCCTGAATGACGTCACATTTTCAATCTCTATAGAGATCGAAAATATGATGTCATTTCCGGGGTAAAACCGCAAAGGATTGTAGGTACGAGTGGCCAGTGCGCACGGGCCATAGACCCTGTGCACGAGATATTGCTAACCACTCACCACTGCTGTCATAAAAAAAATAAAATGATCAATTTTGACTTTTGAAGCTTGTAGATCGATTGTTTACATCAGTCAACACAAGCAGAACTTCATTACAAAATGAGAAGACACATCGGCAAATGTTCAGCATTCAAACTACAGGTGAACAATAGTCAAATGTTTCCAGTTATGTTGATATCAGCTAGCCAAGTACACACCTACACAGCATGTCAACAAACCGTGAAAAAAAAGCCACAAAAAATAAATGTATCGAGCTGGTAAGTATTTCTATACATTAGTATTTACAAAGGGTATGTTGTGACTTACCTTCAAAATTACAGTGGTCCCGCTATAACGCCATTCACCTTCCGCGGCTGCGCAGTTTCGTGGATTTTTTTTAGCGCAATTTTGCATGCTTTTTTTTTTTTTACAGTGCATTGTGTTCTGTGTCCTGATTGGCTGCAGACCACTGTCGATCTCCTCCGTGCCCTCTCTCCTGCACAGTACAGAATCGCTACATCAATCGCTGATTCATTGATGTTGAATTATCTCGCAGCTGCTCTATTCCCATGTTCTGGACCTGAAAACAGGGTTTGATCTTTGGTTTCTTTCTATAATACT